GCAGCCACTTTATACAGGTTTGCCTCCAAGTCATGAGTAGGACTGGCACACTTGCTTCTCAAATGTGGCTTGATGTTTGGCAGGCAGAGTAGTGTCGGGAGATTTTTTGTTTGTGATTACCTTTTTACATGAAGGCGCTGCAGCCACTTTATACAGGTTTGTCTCCAAGTCATGAAAAGGATTTGGCACACCCATTTCTCAAGTATGGTGAAGTGTTCTATGGGTGGAACATTATTGTTTTATTTATTTGTATAATAATAGATATATATTATGAAAGAAATAACATCTCTCATGAATATTAGTACAACGAGTTAAATATTAGCTTGTCTAGAGTAACCACTAGACTAATATTGAAAAGAAATTTTTAAAACAATATATCTTATCAAGCAGCTTTGAGCAGCTATAATTACTTACTCAACATTAAGTAAAAAGAAGTTAAAAAAATCTAAAATTAGTTTAAAGATGCATTTAGTAAGGTTAAATCCACTTTTGATATATGAATTAGCTACGATAATGAGTACATCTATAATAGTTGATATTGATATGGAGTTGTTATTGAGTGATTTAGTTTTGGCTAGGTTTTTAGTGGTTTGTTTTGTTGTGTCACTATAAAGGTTGTTGTCCTATTTAATGCTGATAAGAGGAAAGGAGTTTGCTGTGGTATAGCAGGGTGTCCAAATTAACTTATATAGATAAGCTAAAGTCTCGGTTGAAGCTTCAACCCAATTGAAGAAATTAGTTGTAAAGAAAATATTGTTCATAATATTACATGCCAGCTTTGCTAGTTGCCAAGCATATAAGATAGGCTTGTAGTTACCATCAGGGTGAAGAATATTGTTAATAGTAGTGATAAGTTGATTGATATCTTCTGATGCTAATGGGTATTTGAAGATATATTGGATATTCACAGTATGTAAGCTATACCAGGAATAATATGGATTAGGATATTTTTTTAGATATAATTTATAAAGATTTTCTCTAGTGAAGAGGATTTCTAAAAGCAATTTGATTTTGAAGACAATGAGATCGCTATATTTGTTAACTCTAGAGCTTTTTATTTTTTTGTTCAATTTGTTAATAATTTTGACACCTTGGGGTTTGTGGATATATTCGAATGTTTTAAGAACTGAGGAACTTTTACAGATTATGTAGGTTTTGGTAATGCTTAGAATTTTTTTGCATCATCTGACGTTGCTACCTAGTTATAGGTTATTGATTAGTGGACTTTTAGAAAAGTGAAGTAATGGATTGAATTATTGGAAAGTATCATCAAATCTTGGATTGGATTTAGGATTGATATATCTATATTGAATCGATTTGTCTCATATTAATTTGTTGATTTTTAGCAATATTAGAGCGAAGTTGGTTTTTGTTATTCTTCTTGGATAATTAGAGACTTTTTGAAAAATTTTTTTGTTGTTTCTTATTTCTATGATACAGTTTGATAGGCACTAGTATAAGAAATCTATTATTATATAAAGAAAGTCTCCTAGTAGGTGTTCTGAACTGGTTGGTATTATTTTTGTACTGTTTATGAAAATCTTGTTTTAATGAAGTTGAAAATGGTACAATTGGCAAAAGCCAATTCTTCTAAGTACTGATATAGAAGGGAAGATGAAAAAGTTGTCAACTAATTGAAGATTTATTAAAATTTAATTAATTAATTGTAATTAATAAGATGTTTAGTAAAATTAAATCAAAAATTTTTTGTTTATAATTTTTTTATATATAAAAATGAAAAATAAAATTATTTAATATATAAAAATTTTACAAATCAATTATATTTTTTGAAGAAAAATATAATTTAAAATTATAAAAATTTATATAAAATAGTTTTTTTTATTTGATATTTTTTAAAAAAATTTCTTTAATAATAAATAATAATTGAATTATATTTAAAAATTTATTTTTACTTATATAATCAAATTATTTTAGCTTTTAATTAACAGTTAAGGGACATTTCCCTCCCGTTGTTGTTACACACAATATAAATTGTATTATAAAAATAACATTTTGAGTCTTGATTAAGGGAAATGTCCCGTGACTATTAATAAAAAAAATTAAAATTTTTATTTGTTTATAGTATAATTAAATTAATTTATAAATCCAATTAATTAAATACAATATATAATATATAAAAAATTAATTAATTTATATATACTATATAAAATTATACTATACTTTTGTATTTATTTTTTTAATGAAATGAAATCAAAGATTTTAACATTACAATTCAAAAATATCACTTATCACAATACAAATTAATATAACCAATATTTTATTTTTTAAAAAAATATTTATTAAGATTTCAACAATATTATTTCAATATTAAATTTATTATAACTTTACTAAAATCATTTATAATTCATATATCAAAATTATTATAAATTCAATAATATTTTTAAAATATCATATATTGGTTTTATATTGTAATAAATATGTATACAATATTTATTATTAAATAAGAATAAACAAACAATTATTAAATATAATGAATTTATAATAAATTGTAATAATAAAGTTATAAGCAATAATTTTAATTTTTTATAATAAAACTAAAAAAAACAAGAAACAATCTGAATTACGTAAATTTAATTTATAATAAACCAATTGATAACAAATCATAAATATCACAAATTCAATTTTCAAATTTAAAGTTTATTTTTAAAAAATATAATATAAAATTTATGAAAAAATTACAAAAGTTAAAGTCAGTCAAATTATTAAACAATGGATATTATTGTAAAAAAATTTTATTTATAGAGTTTCAAGTTACAATTGCAAAAATTATGTTTTTAAACAGTTTAAATCAAAATTATTATATTTTGGTTTTTATATAAAATATAGCAATTTATATATAATGAATTTTTTTTAAAAAAAAAATTATATTTATTATAAGAAGGTTTGAATATACAGTATATATATTTTTTCAAAATCATGTCTGATAATAATAATACAGTATTATAGGTAGATATTCGAATATAGATTTCAATTTATGCATATCAGTTCTTGTAATTGGATATTTTTAATTTCAGATTAAATAAATACAACTTATACTTGTTTAATTATTAGTAAATAGTAATTTGAAATTGTAATCAAAGTAAAAAATCAATTATTAATTATGTCAATAAAATCTTGTTATATTAAAACATTATACAGTACAGCATTACATCTTATTAAATTTTCAAAAATAAAATAATTATTTTAGAAAATGTATTATATATGCTTAACAAGTCGTTAATAATAGCATGTGCTAATTTCGAGCGCTGTCTTTTTTTTATCTTCATGTAAAAATCATAAATAATGTATACTCATGCAATGGATCATTTGCATTTACTTTTCTATGTACCAAAATTATTACGGAAAACCTAACTAATGTCTAGTTAATAATCTGTATAATATATGCCCTTTTTGACCTTACCAACGTTTTTATCTTGAAGCATGGGTTCATCGTATATCGAACTCCTTCTATAAAATCTTACTACCGAAATGGCAATGTCATCCAATGAGCTCGGCAAGATTTCCAGATCTTCGAAAGTTTTTGTACCCGGTGTGATCTGATCGCTAATGTATGCCCTCTCAACATCCTCGGTAGAATAAGATGAGATGAATGGCAGGTGTATCAATTTTGCTACTAATAGGGCTATACTTTTTGGAACGAGTATTTTAGTTCTATAATTCACAACAACTTTGTTAATGACGTCATATATTTCATTGTAGGTATATTCATTCGATCCAAATAATTCGTATGTTTCTCCGATGGTATTTTCGTATTTTGACATGTATTCTAGAGCTTTTGCAACGTCCAGGGCCTGGTCATTTTTTTTTGAACAATGATTCGATTAAGAATGAACGACTATTTTAACCAAGCATCGTTTTATAAAAATACAATACATACATATACGGGACGAATCCTAGTCATTCCCTTGTTGAGCACGTATTCGTAAGTTGTCCCTGTGAATGGAATAAAGGATTTAGATGTCGTCGCCAATCCAATCAAAACGAATCGATCGTACGATGTTATTAAATTTTTTCCTTGACAACCTGCTAGTCTATTCAAAAATCTATCTTCATGTCCATACATCGTGGAAGGACGAACTATGGTTGCATCCGGGTATTCTGCCTTCACAGCTTCCTCACCCAAAGCCTGATGTAATATAGAGTTTAAAAAATCAAAGGATCACGCGGTAAGGTCATAAAGGTTGCCAAGGATTCAAAATATTTTCACCTTCGAACGATAAAATTTTGATTTTGAATTTTTATCAGCATTCAATGCAGAAACGTGGACGAATCTTGAAACACCGTTTTCTCTTGAAATTCTAGCTATCCTGGCAGCTCCTTCAACGTGAACTTTTTCAAATGGAAAGTTGCTATATAAGTTATAATACAAATTGATAAAGATGATTATTAACGGGTAGAATGAATTATTGTTTGTCTTTTCTTTTTTTAGACAGCTTTAATTATACTTTGTCTCATAATCCCTGCCTATCAAGTTGTAAACTATATCTGAATGCCTAACCGCTTCTTCGATGTTCTTTTCATTGCGAATATCAAATTCCTAAAAATAATTAAAGTCAGAATATAAACCAAATAACAATAAATTACCGACATTTTACTTGATTAAAGGAGTCATTGCACACACCAAAGGAATCACTTGTCCAAGATCACCAGTAACTTTCAAATGTCTTGCCTCATCTGCATCGCGATAAGGTACCACCACTTGTGTTCCATGCTTGGCTATTTCACAATCCAAATAACTTTGGTAAATAATTCGTTTAATACGGTAAAAGGAAAAGATCCTTCAAATGAAGTTTTAAACACCTAGCTTGCTAACCACATAACGGCCCAAGAAGCCCGTACATCCAAACACAGTTGCTATATGACCACTGACTGAGGATCTTTGGTAAGTAGAAAGTATTATCCGATTAATTATTATCTTCCTCCATTGTACATGCTTCAGGCTAAACTTCAATCCAACACTTACCGACCTCCGGGGCCATACTTGATAATAGGCTTACCAATTTTTTGCCTTATCACAATATCGTGCGCAAACCGCTGAAATAATAACATGGTCGTATGGTTTTACATCTTGATTCCTGAAAACAAGCCAACGCGATCATTTTCATATAACTTGGAATCAGTCAAATCACCTTCTGGTTGACAGCCGAGACACAATCAATAATGCGGGAACCTTGGCAAAGTCCTATTCCGCAAAAATATTAGTTAATAAACTTTTTTCGAAAATCTTTTTCATCTGCCCGACACTTACGGTTTCTTAATGAAGTTTTAGGTAATGAATACATCGTTATTAGATCCGAGCAGGAATTTAGTTTTTGTAAAAACTTGAAAGTATTTTAAGGTCCAATTGCAGATCCTAGATTTCGATCGATATTACGTAATCCATCATTTATTGAGAAGAGGATTCTGAGCAACAACAATATAACAACGAAACCCATAGAAAATACTTGTATTCATAATATGAAGAAACAAAATCAAGATGTAACTTTATTGGATTCCAAATTCCAAATTATTACGCATTTGTTATCGAACATTATAATTGCATCCATCAGTAGTTTTGGTCGATCAATCTATTATTTAGCGGCGCGTTTTCGCTACCTTTCTAAATCATCATTTAGTATAATTTCAAATTCCCAGTGACTTCATTGACCAACGAGACAGGACCTAATGTCGAATACAATCAAAAAAAAAACAATTTTCCAAGTTTGAGATGAACTCATACGTTCATTCAACCAACCGTACATCAACTTTACCTGGACCAACTCCTAGGACGGTTTTACTTCCATGCTTAACTTGAGTGCGACCTTGATCACGAAAATTTATAGTTCATTGATTTACTGTAAAGCTACTAGAATTTTGGGAAATGTGTGGTCAACCTAAAATAACCCTAAAGGCTGACAGTGAAGAAGAGCTGTGAGTGTTTTATTACGCTTTTATCGACAAGATTACTGAACAGAGGGATAGAAAAATCTAATGGATTATGAATGAACTAAAAACAATAGGATACAGCTGGAATATATAATTATAAGACAGAAACTCAGAAAGTAGGGAATGCTTATTCGTAAAAAAAAAATGATGCAAACCTGCGCGGCAACTTTTCCTTTGCTCATTCCGAGATCAGTTCTCACCACTAGAACCTGTCGGGTAAAGTGAATAACAGTAAATAAAGCAGAACGCGTTACTAGTCGAAGGCGCCAACAAAAAAAATCATAACCTTACTAATTTTGTTTCTTCCAAGTTTTCGCTATATATTTTCTATTATTTTCAAATAAAGTATCTGATCCGTTGGTATACAACGAAACGCAAACGTGAAAGGCTCGACAGATGCCAAAAAATTTTACCAATGCCGCAGATTTCTTATGTTTTCTAGTTCCGAGGAAATAACCCACTAGAAGACAACCGACACCAACGGATAATAATGTCGTCAATGAATATGCTTGAGGGAGTTTCTGGTTTTCCAAGTACATGACTAACTAAAATTACGGGAACGAAAATACCGTATCTGGTATTAAATGTCGAAATTGATCACATGATTGATTTCAACTAATATAGTCAATCCATCGTATTACGTTTAGATACAGTTTGGAAGTCTTATTTTATTGACAAGTTATTATACTATTTTTATATTAGTTGTAATTGGAATTGATAAATATAAGTTTTACAATGTCACAACTGGCATGCAAACATCGCTGGTCTCTACATCGATTCCAAGATCCCAAAATGATTGTTTTCTTAACCGTGAATTGAATTTTGATTTTAACGCATCGATGGAACAGTTGTCATAAATGACATTTTGATGATTTTGTCCCTCCTGCGTTATTTTCGTTAGGTTACATGGGAAACTGAAACTTAACAGTAGATGTCTTTATGAGATATTGAGTAGATTGTTAATTTGATGTTATTGTTAATATAGATGAAAAGAAATATGCGTTATCCAAAGATTACCTATGAACTTTTCCACCAAACAATCTCTTCGCAAACACTCGATATAATCTCAAATCTTTATTTCCAAGGCAATTTTTAGTAGGCTGTGATTTACTACTGGAAATGTTAACAGTGTCATGAAATTTGGTATCTCGTTCACCAGATAGTGTATCGAGTACGTAAATCACAGTATATTCGAGTATCCACCCCGCGAATGCTATTATGCAAGATGGTGTCTCTGAAAAATAAAGAACTGCTTCTGGATTGCTCTCTCTCGAAGATTTATGGAATTGAAGAAAAAGATGGTGAATATGTGTTTTTAGTAATTCTTTCAACAGCAAGGGCGGTGCGTCAGTCTATCAGAAAAAGGGGAAAATGTTAGTCGGAATTCGTGAATTTCTTGTTTTTGAACAATCACCATCTTCGGCTCTCCACATATTCCATTGTCGCCACAGGAAACATCTACAAATATATTACTTTTAAGGTCTTCACTCAGGTCTGTATCCAATTTGCTGAAAAACAAGTATCGATTACAAATAAACGTGTGGGTCTCGGAAAATTGCAGAGCAAATAAGGTGGATAGAAGTGCGTCCTATTTCCAATTGTTTTATTAAGGCTTCAACAAAAAACCATGAATAACGTTCGAAAGTAAAACGATTAATACTCTTCGAAGGGAGGCTATGAGCTCTCTGGTTTCTTCTAATGTTAAAAATGCGAAATCGACAAGATGCGCCACTCTGATATGCAAAAATCATAAGTGAACTTGGGGGAAATGTCAAGAACTACTCGTGATAGCGCAAAATATACCTTATTCCCAAAGCGACCGCCGTAACATCTAATTCATGTGAGAAATTTCAACTTTTCTGATTTGAAAAATTTAACCGTCATAAAATTTCGTAAATCAGACCATGCACAAAATTCAAGACCCTTGTAGAATAAATCAATGTTTTTCGAGTTTTGTGTTTCTTGAATTCCGAATTTTTCTCAAAAAGAGGTTCCGATGAACCGGGATCCTTTACCGCAGGGTGCTTGGAAACATGTGAACCGATACATTTCTTTATGTGATTGAATACGGCCAAAGAGGTCTCGGTGTCGTACGTTGTGATCATTCCATTTAAAGAGGATTTTGTTGTCTTCAGTATAAATACCATATAAACACGTGATTTATTCTCGGGCCTATGAAGATGGTCTATTAGCATGTGATGTATTACATTTGTTAGTGACTAAATGTTTTTTTGAATATTTTAACTTTATAAGAAAGTATGTGGTACTTGAGAACATATTTCAATTGAAACTTATGGCATTAGAATTCGATAGCAAGTTGATAAATAATATTACTCACTGAAATTACCGAGAATGCAGATTTGAGAATGCTTTTTTAACAGTTACGAAATTTTAAAAAAAGAATTAAAAAAATATCTTCAATTATTTCAAATTTAATTGACCTAGCTTCTTGTAATACAGCGTCCATGAAAAGTAATACTCAATGATTTTTTCACATAATAACATTATATAAAGCTTAAAATTTAAATATGCAATAATATTTACAATATTTTATTATAAAATATGTAATATTTCAAATCAAAAATTTATATACTGTATTATAGATATTAAATATAAATTTTTATTAATTTAAAATAATTTATATACTGTCTATCGCATATACAATATTTATTTAATATTTTTCTCTATTTATTTTTAAATTATAAAATTTTTTTTATAAATTTTTAATTATTTTATGTTTATTTAAAACATAATTTTTTTAACTATTTTACTTATATATTATTTTATTAAAGAAAAAAATTTTTTTTTATAAATTTTATTAAATACTTGTTTAAGATATCAAAATATAAATATATTTTTATTTTTTAAAGAAAATAATAATACTAATAATAATTTATATACAATATGTATCAGAGAAATAAAAAAAAAATAAATTATATTAATTTAGTATTTTTCTATTATTATTCATATAGTCATATTTTTTTATAAATATGATATAGCAATAAATTTGACAAATTGATTATTATAAATTAATTATAAATTAAATAACATTTAAAAGAATATATTTGATTTGATATAATATAAAAAAAGTTTTAAATTTATTTATTAAATTTAAATTCTATTAGATATTGTTTTTTTTTTTATATATTTATTTTTTATTTTTATATTTTATTAAAAAGTTTAAAAATTCTTTTATTTTAATTATATAAATATTCTAATTTATTTGTTCTTTATAATAAAATATTGAAAAAAGAATTTTAAAATATAATTATCAGTCATTGTAATTTTTTATTATTTAATTCGAAAGTAGACAAAATTTTTAAACCTGTTTATGATTTAATTAGAAATCTTATTTTAAAATTTATTTATTTAAAAAATATTTTATTGAAAATGATATGATAAACAGATAAAATTTTTTTTTATAATTTATCAATTCTGATACAATACATCTATTATGATCTGATTTCATTTCTTATTAATATTCTGAATAAAACGAAAATGGTTATTAGTCATTCGTTATTTAGTTGTAAATAAAATTATTAAAAACGAATTTTTATTGGCTGGCTGACTATACGCGTGATCCTAAATTTTCAATAAATCATGGGAAAATCATGTGCATTTGTCGCGTACCCACTGTTTATTTTATGATGTCCACGCCTTCTACCAGTTAAGTATAATAGTAAATTTTATGTTGATAAACCCGGCGTTTACTGGCCTGTAAAACCTGAGGGTACTCACCTTCCTACGGGAGAGCGTGTTTCATGCCTCTGTGTGTTGTCGGTAAGCTGGCTGTATAAGCAACTTTTGAAAGATGCATAAGGTTCTGGTTCCTTGAACTAGTGTTTCTGGGGCATGTAAAACCAGCGGGGACGTGTCTTCCATACGGAGAGTACATTTTCTGCCTCTGGTGTTGTCACGGAAACAGCTTTCATCATTAATGACGTCTTTATACTATCTGAGAAAGTTTCGGGTTAATAAAAAACCATGTCTTAATACAGTAAACGCAAACTTTTACTAATATTGATATCTTTACGATCAAGGTTACGTTCAAATTTTAGAAAATGTTTTAGCAAATGGATATGGCATTGTTAAGTTTTTTTCAAAGACCATGTTTCCATTATCGCAAAAAAGAAGAGCTGAGGAGGTGTGCTATGAAGCATTGAAGATTATTGCATCTAGTAACGGAGAACAAGCAGAGAAAGCTCGCACCTTTCTTGAAACTTTTAACGAACAGATTGACTCTCGAGCTGTTCAGGGATTTTGGGAGAATGTTCACTTGCGAAACGAGAAATCTAAAACTCGAGATGCACAACTTCTCTTGAACGAAAAAAAAGTGAGTATATGCATGTATGCTACCTATATTACAAAGTCACTATTACTAGGAAACGGGGACCGTTACAATCAATTTACTTATTTGAACCATTTAGAAACAACTTTCTATTCAGATCAAATTGAATGTTATAGAAGAGTTCCGTGTTATGAGTGATCTATGTTTATCAAAATTTAAGGTCAGTAAATGCGTTTTATAATCTTGTAAATCAGCTACAATTTTTCGAATTCTGCGAGTTGATTTAATGCGCCTATTTAGAAAATGTTGGATGTGATGAATACTTCAGATGGCTCCAGAAGTAAAGAAAAACGGGCACTGGATAGTGATGAACGCTCGAATAATAATAAAAAGGTTAGTACAGATTATGTCCTGTGATAGTATATGGCCTGTAAAAATGACCACCTTTTTTTTACTTTTTGGATGTATACAGATTAAAATCACTAATACAGATGAGATTGATTCGGAATCAAATGACCCAAAAGAGAGAGACAAGAAATCAACTGATACAAAGGTATGTTAGTGTTTGTTATTCTTACATATAGTAATTTTCTATTTATAACCTTCGACATATCAAAGTTAATAACATTTTTTATTACAGGATAAGGTAAATCTTATAAGTTATCAATTATACATCTGAAAGATATTTTCTAACTGGGATTTTTTTTTTTGACTTTCCACGTTTAATCTAAAATTTTCACATGACGGTTTCAGATACAATCTAACTATGAGGATAAAGATGAAGAATGTTCTTTAGATGACGGTTCTAATGAAGAAGATAAAGTCGAACTTGCAGACATATCATTTAATTCTTTTGTTAGTTTAAAAGTCGATAACAAAAATTAGAAATTAAAAAATAATGAAGGTGTAAGAGGTCGGCTTATAAATATGACAAAAAGAGCAATTAAAGAAATGAAACAATACAAAAAAGTAGATTCAAAAATAATGAGTATTATAGGGTAAGCAATAAAAATACTATTATTAATGATTTTTTTGTAATTTGCTAATCATTTTATAAACTTATGTACAGGTTGGGGCTGTCGTCTATCATAGATCTTTCATCAGAGTTTAAACAGGGTATGCGCTCTTGGTTTAAAGACGATTGGATCCCATTAAAGAACAAAGCGCTATCGAAAATTAACTTAACAGTTGAAGAGTTTTCTGGTGAAATATTGGAGTTTATCACAAAAGTTGAAAATGTATATAGGCAATACTACACTTTTGAAATCATCGTGTTATGAGTGATACTAACTCTTTTAACCTTTCACTATGTTCAGCTTAGTACTTTGCATGATTTTTTGGGAGCAAGACTATTATTAGAAAAAGTGACTGAACGACCCACCAATATTAAATTTAGACAAATTTTAAAAGTATATTTCTACGTGTATGTTATTACTTTTTTTCAACCAGTAGTTTTTTTTTGTCTTGTTATTTACTGATTAAAATTAAAATTTTATTTATTAGCTTGGATTTGCTCTTAGAAAATCCATATTTATTTGTAAGGAAAAATGGCCAACCGCAAAAACACACAGAAATACAACATGTGATAAAAATGGTGGATCCTATATTGGAAATAATATTTTCTGATTGTCAAAATCTTGTGAGGCTAACGTGGTAAGCATTTTATTAATTTTGAATTGTCAATTGCAGACTAATAGGTTCACTTATAAATTTTAGGGGTGAATCCATTTTACAAGTCACAAATAGTTCAAAAAGAAAACCAAACCTCTGTGTAAGAACTGAGGATGGCACAAAAGAGTTGAGCCATTCGGAATGTGCCTCAAAAGCTACAATGTTAGAAATTCTAAATGATCGAAGTAAAGCTCTTAGAACAAACAAGTGCATACTTGACAAATATCTTAAGAACGATCTTCCAGGTGAAGCTTTAGAAAATACAACAATTTTTGGATTCCAGCTGGCAGGTAAGATCACAATATAATTTGTACCATATCTTATTAATGTTTCTTATAATTGGAGTTGATATACTGGACGAAGGACTTTATTTTGGATTTGATGGACCAGTATTTGAGTTTCCTGCTCAAATTTGTAGTATTGATGTCTTAAGACGGACACTAGAAGTTTTGTATTATTTCAAGGTAGGTGAATATAAAGTTCTGCATTCCATGATTCAGAAATATGCTCACAAAAAATCAATCGAAATAGGAACAAGTCATCAGAAAAGCAAAATATTTGTCTCAGAATTCAAGAAGAAATGCGTTTTTTCAAACTTCTAAATTCCGAAGATATGAAAACGAATCACTGCAAAGTTAGTTATGTTCGTGAAATTTATTTACATCGAAAAGCAAATCCAATTAACTGTACGATAAATTTAAAAACTAGTGTTTCATTTATTTTTTCTGGCCTATTAAAAATAGTGTATATTAAATTGTCCCAGAAACATATTTGGTAAAGCAAATATAAAGCTCGTATTTTTTTGATTTTTGAAATAAAATCACGTACGCATTATAATTTGTAACGCCGTCATAGTAAAAAAACCATGGTTTTGTTCGTTATAATATATTTTGTAAAACTATCAATCAAAATTTTTAAAAAATATTAAAAAAGTCGCAACTACTGTATTTAAGATACAATAATTTTTTTAATTTTAATATGAGTATAAGTTTCTTAATCAAAACTATATTGTAATAATATGTAAAAGTTTATAAAAAAAATCAAATCTAATGAAAATCAGTTAAATTCGATTGAGTTTAATCGAATTTAATCAGAATTAATCATTATAAATTCGATTAAATCTGGTTCAAATGAAATTAAGTAATCTTAGTCTAAATTAATTAGAGCCGAATAATTAATCCGAATTAAATAAATTAATAAATTGAACAAAAGAAAAATAACATAAATAGTTTTTTCTTTATTTGATTATTTAAAATATTAATTTTTTAAAAAATTTAATATCAAGGTTTTAAAAACATTTATTCTTGAAATTTATGAATAAATAGAATAAATAAAAAATTCATTTTTAAATTAATTTTTTTTTAATTATACAAAACGTATAAAGAAAATTTTTGAATACTCTTTTTTTATTATAATTTAATAAATAACTGAAGTAAAATTCTAAATATGATTTTATATTAAAATTTCTTTTGATAATTTTATTAAAAAATATTAATTTATAATCAAATAAAAATTTTATATTAATTATTATTTTTTTAGAACAAATTATTAAATTTCAACATATATAATGTATTTTTTAATTTTAATAATTTTAATTATTAAAACTGTTTTTAAAAATTGTTAGAATTTTGAACCTTGTAATCATGCAATTGGATATTAATCATTTAATAAAGCTGCGTGTATTGCTAACACCTTTCACCCGAAAAAAAAAATTGTTCACGGGCTTTTAAAAATTTCAAAATTTCTATTTATTTATTGTTAAAAAATATAAACATTATAATTTATATAATCTACATATACTGTATACATTTTATTGTTTCCAAAATCTTAAACAGTATCGTGTTTTATTCCAATAATTTTACCATTGTATTATATAAATAACAATCTGTGCCGCTAAATGATTCGATATATTCCTTGTATATAGTGCTCCAGACTAAATTAAAATACAATATGAAATTTAGGAAAAGTTAAATAACACAATTTTTTAAAATAAATAAATAAATAAATATTTCAAAAAGTCAATAACATATTATATAATAATGCTTTGGCTAGCACTTCTCTTGTCTATTTCCCTATTTCTACCAATTTCCGGTTAAAAATAAATTTATGAAAGTAGTAGTCTTGTAGTGCTTTTCCTGCTGATTCTCCTAAATCTTTTCAGATAAATAAAAATTTTTCAGGGTGGTATTATTGCATAGTGCCTCGGCTAGTGCTTTTCCTGCTGATTCTCCTATTTTATTAAAACCCAAATTCAAATTTGTCAGGGTGGTATTCTTGCATAGTGCCTCGGCTATTGCCTTTCCTCCTGATTCTCCTATTTCATTACTACATATATTTAAATTGGTCAGGGTGTTATTCTTGTATAGTGCTGTGGCCAGTGCTTTTCCTCCTGATTCACTTATTTTATTATTACTTATATCTAAATTGGTCAGGGTGACGTTCTTGCATAAACTTACAGCTAACCCTTTGACTACATTATAGTTTAGACCTTTATTACTCATGTCTAACTCGATTACAGTAACATCTCTGCATAAATATTCGGCCCACGTATTTCCATCATTACTTAACATAACTTTGTCTAAGTTAGGTAAATATGATGCCGTTTTATCTACCAATGTAAAATTTTAATGTTAAGTAAATTTTTACGTATTTTTGAAAATATTTTTGTAGAGAAGCAAAATGATTATTTTAGAATGTAAAATACATTACCATCATATGTGATTGTTTCATTATAATTAACTAATTTTCTGCGTTTTATTTGCCCTATTATATGATATATATGTAAATTAATAAAATAAATATCCATTTAGCAAAATTCAAATTTAAACTTACCGATTTTTTCATTTGACAAGAAATCATTAGTATGCTTTAATGAAGTCGATAAATTTTTACTGTTATTCAAACAATTGGCGCCTTTTCTAAATTCGGAACTGGATGCATAAATACTGAATTAATAATAAACTTTGGATTTTTAATCCTTAATTTTCAAAAGTAAATATTTACTCACGTGTCTTTGATAAAAGAACACGTAGAATATGAATCTATAAAAAAAAATATTTTTCCAAAAAGATTTTGTAAATTAAGAGATTAACTTCGTTTATAAAAAATTCCAATTACCTGTTCTTGTAAATAAATTTAAAGTATAGCTTGTAGTTTCTACGATAGGATCCAACAACTGACTAAATTATTTATGTGGAGAATGCATAGTTCTTTGTTTCTCTGCAAATTTCCTAGATTTTATTTTTTGTAGTTTTTTTTCTGCATCGTAGAATGCATCAAATTCCCATTCTAAAGAATTTATTATATTATGTATTTCATTAATCGAAGGCCTCTGCGAAGGATCTTGATGCCAACACTTTTCCATTAAACTAGCCCACAACTCTGGTGTATCTTCTGTAATTTTAGGACGTAGTCCTCCACATATATCCAATGCAAGATGGGCATCATACGTTTGATCATCAAAGGGACGATTCCCAGTTGTTAACTCCCACATAATCATGCCTAAACTATAGATATCAGAACTATATGAAAATTGTTTTTTATTAAATATCTCGGGCGCAATATACGGCATGATTCCGTATACACTTGATCCTGGATCCTCATTCGCGGGTCGACTAAATCCCAAATCAGCAATTAATGGATCATCATTTTCTTGTATTAATATATTTCCACTGTGTATATCTCGGTGTATAATCTTATTTTGATGAATCCATTTAATCCCAATAACAATATTTCGCAGGAGATTTACTTTTGTTATTTCACTTTCTTCCCAGCCCATCCATTTGATGTCATCAAAATAATCGGATAGATATTTACGCAAACATCCATTTTCCATATAAGGCATTACAAATACATAATTTTTTGTTATTGGATCTTGCGAGACTCCATAACAATGAACAAGATAACGTTTAGATGAGTTTGGTTGTATTTTAGCGATATTACGTAACTATAGAGAAAATTAGCGTATTTTAATAATTTATTGATTACGAATTAACCGCAAAAAAAAACTTTACCTCTTTTATAAACGTTGAAGTTATATTTTGAGAATCTTTAAGGACTTTTAATACAACTTTCATTGGGCCTTTCCGACAAAGTTTTTCTCCAGAATAACTCGTAACTCTTCCTTTTATCCATGTAGCAGTGAATATCGTACTAAATCCGCCTTCTGTAATTTTTTGGACTTTTCTAAAATCTTTAAATGGGATCCATTCTAATCTAAATTGAATATTATTTCTATGTGTATCTTTAATTAAATTGTCAATATCTAAATTCCCACTATTAACAGACTGATTCCGTGCAGAATGACAACCAGTACATAAAAAACCGGCAGCCCCATATTTAATAAGCCTTTTCTTGTTACACCCAGGGCATTTGACATGTTTTCTATGAAAGTTTTGTAAACCTTCACTAGTCATACTTTATTATCGAATATTTCGAGGAAAAAATTTTTAAATAGATTAAACAACCAACTTTTTTGTGATTTAAATAATTCTTTGGCAACGGATTAAAGAGGTATATTCTTGATGATCTGGTCTCGATTTAGAATGATACGAAATTTATTTCGTTAAGAATTTCATAGATCTTACACGTGCATAGTTATTCTAGAAATTCTATATCGCATTTCTATTATTGAAGAAATGTGAAGGATGTAGTTTAGTTTTTTCTTTGTGACTTCTCAGATTACAGCATTCCTATTATCATTGGTTATTTCGAACAGATGCTGAAAGTTAAAAAAGGATTAAAGAAATAAAGGGCGTGTAATCGTAAGGAAGGAAAGTTGTAACATTTGTCGAGGAGCTCGGGAATTCGGTTTTTTAGAATTATACTCTATCACTGACAAATATACAGAAGTAACCCATACTTGAGAAATATTTTCAAGTTTGGGTAGATAGAAAGTAGAAACCATATCAACGAGTTTATTTTTGTAATTTAAAATAATAATAATAAGTTTTTGAATATTATAGTAATGAGAAAATCAAATAATACATTTTTTTACGTTCAGATGACTGTAAGTTGAAAAAAGAATTATATTCAAGGTTATTATTTTTTGCTAAAAAATATTTATTTATTTATTGGTTTTTATAAAATGTATATAAAAGTAAAAAACGTTTTTATTATAGATATAAAATAAACAAAATAAATATTAAATAAATATTATCTTTTATTTATATATTCTCAATAAATTATTATAATTTTAAAAGGTTATGAAATAATAATTATTGTTATTTATATTTTAATGAAGAAATTTTTCATTAATATGATGTAAAAAGTCTAAACTCCAAAATCGAATAAAATACTTAAAATATATTAAAACTTTATAAAATAATTTTTTTAAAAAACAAATTAATAATATTATTCTTTAAAATAAATTTTTTTAAATTACAAATCAAAAATATAAAATAAAAAGTTATGTTTTAAGTTTTATACTTTCAAATATTTTATTATATTTTTATCAAAAATTAAAATAAGGTTATATTATATAACTTTAATTTAATTTATTAATTTTATAAATTTTTATTGATTGTAATTGCACATATAAGTATAATTAAAATTGATTGATAAATATTTATATAAACAAAAAAATATATAAACAATTAATTGGAAAACTTAATTAATTAGTTAATAATATTTTGTATAAAATAATAAAAACAAACAAACAATTAATTAGGAATATACAGTATATATTACTATTTTTTTCAAGAAAAAATCATACGAAAAATAAATTTTTATAAAAATTGTTATTGCAATTATTAATAAATATAAAATATAATAAAATAGGTACAAATATAATAATAGTTATAATTGTAAAAATAATTATAATTATAAGAAGAATCGATGTATAACTTATATAAATGATTTTTACTTACATAATTTATAGAGCTTATATATTTTATTTATTATATAGTAAAGATGAATAAAAACAATTAAATATATATTATTTTATATTTTATATATAACATAATCAAAAAAAGTTTATTTTTTTCTTTACGTATTATTATTATAAAATACAAATAATAAAGAGATACCATTTTCTTATTCAAAAAAAAAAAAGAATTAAAGTTTATAAGAAAATACAATATCAAAAATATATTAATCTATATCGATTTTTTTAAAATAAATATACAATATAACATAGATACAATATATTTTGATTATGGAAAATATCAAGTTTTTCAAATAATAATCATGATTATTAATATTTTTTATATTGCTTTTAATGTTTATATCATATGTATCAAATCAAAATATGTATATTTAAAACAAATGTACATACAGTATATGATAAAAAATTTTTTTTATTATTTAGAATGATACAATTGTTTTTTTTTTATCATTTTCATATCAAATAAAAAAAATATAATAAAGTTTTTTTAATTAATATTTCGATAAATATTTTTTACTATGATTTTAAAAATTAGAATTCATATCAATATACGCATAAGATGATGCTTTTTTATTTTTAAAATTCTAAATATTCAAGATACGTACGTACTGTATATGATTTTTGAAAATTTTGTAGATAATAATTATGATAAAAAAATCTTTTTCTGAAATGTAAAATGATTTGGTTAGGATAAAAAGATATATTGCACATGAATAATTCAAAATTGAAAAAACAAATTAATTCGTTTTTTATAATTTTGAAGATTCGATTAAAATAAATAAATTCAAAAAATCTAATGTATGCACGTACATAAATTTTCAAGGAAATATTCAACTTTATCAAAATTTTTTTAAATTATCGTTTTCCTTTTTCATTGACATCTTATTTATTATTATCTTTTGATTGCTATTTTTTTTACAATCCTTATAATCTTTGTATCGTATATTATTTTATGTGAAACGAAAATTTCCAATTTCATAAAGCTCAAAGAATTATTTTAATAATAGTGATCAATATCAATAGGCTATTTATTATTCTCAAATAATGATTAAGATTAAATAATAAATAAATAAAAATAAATAAATTTCTTTCTCACCGTGAACTCGTGGATCGATAATCTTTTTTTTGATTTACCGATTGTCGACGGACCTTATCTAAAACCAACGAAAGAATGAAACCGAAAAAAAAAACTTTCTTATTTTTAATATGATGTAAAAAATAAAATGTTGGTTTACTTTTTGAAAAAATTTCTTTCTCAATGATAGGTGATTACCGCATACTCTACTTTGAAGTGTGTATCATTTATTAATTTTAAAAGAAACTGAAAACAGTTAAATGTAATAATTCGACCGGACCCGAACCGGACCAGGCTCCACCTAAGCATGTTATTGTTAAATTTGTTACACCAAATATGTCGGCAAAACAATGGAACATGATTAACCAAATTTGGTTAGTTGTAATTGGGCAAACAAAAATTATAAATTGCGAATTAAAAATACTCCTTATTTGGATCAAAAATACTATTTAGAAATTTCTTCGTTGCTGCAGGAAGTTTCAATTTTCCGAACGGTGGTTGTTATAAACTTAAAAAAGTGTGTCTCTCGAAGTTCTTTAAAGGATTTGGGATTATTGCTAAAACTACATTTTGATCCAAGATAGAATTTTGACAAATTTTAAATTTCCCTTTTTCATTGATATTGCCCACGAGGATCCCAAGCCTCCGGAGATTCTTAGGTCACGTTTTCCTTTTTTCGTTAAACCAATAATACTCATGCAACAAGATTATCCATTAGACGTGTATTCGTGGGTGGCACTATCACTTTTTCTTTTGGTAATATTCTTCGTGGTATTTCCTATCAGTATTCCCATCCCATTCTCTAAGAGGTTCCCCGTGATTCCATTTATTCATTCCTCTCGATCTCAACCGATCAAAATCCCATTCAATTTAGCGACCACGCCATTCTACGCCATAATTATATTGTTGGCATGCAGATGCATAGAGTTCAAAGTGGTCGTTGATGGCTTCGTAGGGAGCGAGGGAATTCAACCGTACAGTATTATGATATTATTTTATTCATTGGTATGCATCTCGTAAAGTAAATACGCTATCATTATGCGATGCCTCAATAATGCCTAAGAAAATCTTCAAATAAAGGCTTACATATGCGTCTCGTTGGACTTGACGGGTTTCGTGGAATTCTGTGCATATTGGTTCTCGAACAAAAGCGGGAAGAATGGAAAAAAGTTGTTCACCTACTTCTACATCTTGTTTAATCTGATGAGCGCGTTCACAAGTAATGATGTGGTAGTGCTTACGGGAACGAGTAAGTAAGCAGCGATTCTCTATTCTTGTATCTCGCGGTGTTTAGTGAATGTCAATTATTATTAAACGTTCTCTTTTATTAGTCTTCTTAGTGTATTACACCCGGTTAGCAAACATAAAACCTCCAACGGCATTTTTGATTTCGGAATTCATGGCAGCCAATATTGGTAATTCAACGCGACTTTGATAAAAATCTATCCATTACTTTTAATAACCTCTTCCACAAAAAAATAGCATCAATGACGCTTTACATCGGAAATCCAACGAATGTAATTGTCGCACAGGCATATAACATCTCCTTTATAAAGTACAGTGCGTGGATGCTTGGTCCAACCATTGTTTCAATCGTTGTCGCTTATATCTTTCTAAGGATCGTCTTCAGAAATCCTAAATTCATTCCACAAAATGTGGACCCACCAAAACGCGATCCAAAGAGTGTATTAAGAGATAAGAACGGTGCAATATTTGGAATTTTTTTGTTGGTGTGTTGTTTGGTTACGTTGATGGCCACTTCATTCACAAGCATCAGAGTTTGGGTGGTAACATTGCCTTTCGCCGTGGTGTCCTTGTTAAGGGATTTCGTTCATGATCTGCTGGAAAAAAAGAAAACCGATAACGAGCAAAAAAATAAGTCCGAAGATAAGGAGGTGGAGAAGTTTGAAAGTAAAAAAGATACGGTTATAGAAAATGTCGAGGGTAAGAGAGACACGGTTGAAAGTAACAAAGACACGATCGTGGAAAATGTTGAAAGTAACAAAGATGTGGTTATCGAAAATGTTGAAAGTAAAAAGGACACGTCCATAGACGTCGAAAGTAAACTAAAAAATAAAGTGGAATTAAGCGATTCCAAATTAGATCATCAGAACTCCACAACTTTAACAGTGTTAGCTATAGAAAACATAAGTAAATCATCACAGAATCTCGAAAGTTCGTCGGGACAAGAGCAGGTCATAGTAATTGACAAAGGCTATTCAGACTTTAGAAAAGAAGAAACCGGTTCTAGTTGCGAAAGTTTAGAGATCGAAATTCAAGAAGATCCGGAAAATGTATCCGAGTCAAGGTGTTTCTCTTTTAAACACACCTTTCCAACAATATACATGGTGTTTATGAGAATGCCGCGGAGTCTCCTTCCATTCTCATTTGGAATGTTCATTCTCGTTGAAGGTATTAATTTATATATAATGCATAAAAAAAAGTCATTTATGAAAGGATGTGATGGAAATTAAATATTACATATCAAACTATTGTTTGGCAGTTCTCTCTTCATTAGGCTGGATCTCACTGTTTGCAAAAGCCTTTTCAACTCTCACGCCATCCTTTATACCTGCCGTATTCGTCACTGCAGTTATCTCCATCATTCTCTGCAACCTGCTGAATAACCTTCCAATGACAGTGTTGTTAACGCGAATCCTACAGCATCCAAATTTTGCCAATGCAGACCACGTGAATGAATCGGTAATGACTGGTTGTCTTTTTGCATTGGTGATTGGCAGCAACGTGGGTGCCTGCTTTACAATAATCGGGGCGTTGGCAGGATTGATGTGAGTATTTCGTTTCATTGCGAATAACGACTCGTAATAATATTCACAAGAAACATTTGTGTATTATAGGTGGGACAAAATCCTGAAGGATATGAAATCGCCGGTTGGATATTGGCAATTTTTAAAATGGAACCTTGGGGTAATGCCGGTGGTTTCCTTGAGCGCGTGCCTCGTGCTGATATTTGAAATATGGATTATATACGAACGATAATTCTTGGGATTAATCTCGTGGTCACGGCTTCGATCTTAATTAAGAATCCAATGGCGAACATTTACTTGGAGATTTCGTGTTAATCGAAACACAAAGTATTTATTATTTGTACCATAAAATCTTTTCTCTTATGTGACGATCTTTATGAACGGACACTTGAAACTCTTTCCAAAAAACATGTAATTTTACTTAATAATTTATTAATAAATAGTTTAAAAAAAATTAACTTCTAATACATCTCTACAAATGACGTTTTGTTTTCAAGCATTTGCGATTGATATTTAACTTTATAAACAACTATCTTGCTATGATTGAAAACATTATTCTTTGACACTCAAGAGATCCATGATTTGTTCCAGTTTTGGATTTCCGCCTAACCTCTCGATCTCGGCGCGTGCTTCTTTTTCGACTTTTACCAAATAGTGTCGAGTGTACTCGAAGGATCCAGTTTCTCCCATAATATTTACTGCAAATTGCTTTAACTCAATGGAGGTTGTGTGCTGCTTCAGGATGTCTGACAGAGAAAAGAATTAAGAATATTTCAAAGATATAAAATTTCACATACACAAAATATTTCGAAACAATGAGGATACTAATCAACTGTCGATTTCTAGTATCCGCGTTAATAGAATGGATGATCGGGAAAGAAAATTTTCCTTCAGTTATGTCATCACAAAAACCTTTGTTATTCGTATACTGAAACGGATAAATAATGTCAACAACCAGATCCCCAAGGCTGATTATTATTACAAAGTATGCATGCGCCAAACCTTTTCAGACTGTAAATTCATGTAATCATCTCGTATCTGAAAATGGACACCGATAATGTTCACAAGTGGAACGTAATTCCTGAATTATGAAAACGCGCAGCCAAATTACACAAGTGTATCGTAAAAATAAAAAATCTGTTGACTAACAAAAATAAAACCTACACTTCTGATTTACTGGCTTCTTGCATGAGTCTCACTCCCAAACGTAGTAAACCTCCAGTTTCTAAAATCAATGAAAGATGAACTCACTGAAATTAACTTCACTTAAAATTAACTGGATCGACCTTACTATTTGAGACCATCTCAATGAATTCAGACTCCGAGGGACAAGTCAACGTATCCCTCCAATAGATTTCCATTCCCTGACCGCGGTGAAGGTTTAATAGCTCTTCTGTTTTTTTGTTTTTTTTTTTTCAAAAAAAAAAATGAATTTTTTAGTAATCAATCAATTGATGACCCGTTTGATTAAACATACCTGTAAAGATCGAGAACAAGTTGGCATCCTCCAGCTTTCGAAGTTCACTCAATGCAAGAAAATAGACATAATTTGCACAATTGATGGTGGAAGGTATACCATATATGGTGTGCGCAACTATATTAATTGTGAAAGAAATCAATGAACACGAGATCTTGCGACCATGATTACGTACAAGGACTTGTAAAGAAGATAACCTGGAACTCCGCGACGCAATGTTGAGCCATCCTCCACATCGTCAATTCTATTGTTACGTACATATTAATGATCATCCATCAAATATTCATTTCACACGAAAAATTATAAATATTCTCACAGAAGACTGGCAGTGTGTAACATTTCCACAATGGTAGTAATTATGGCCAACTTGTCCTTGGGGACCTGAAGCCAGTGATCAAAGGCATCAATCAATTTAGTCCTAATCTCTTTTCCAGGATGCGCCACCAGATAGTTGTAGGGTTCTAATAAAATCTTTTAAAAAAAAAGAAAAAAATCAAGTAACCATTTACATCTCTGGGAAAATTTCGGATAATATCATACCTCTTCTGGGGTCAATGGTTGAACTTTTGCGGCGGGGATGGGTTCACTCATTTTTTTTCCTTCTGAAAGACGTAAAAAATAGATTACGGAGAAAACGCAACGCTATTGCGATTTCATGTTTGATATCATATGATTGTTAGTATGACAAAATATATGATTGGCAGATAAATCCATCTATCCAACGCCGGACAAGCTGCTTTAGGCACCTACTCAAGTTTTACTAATGAGTGCCAAGCAAGAAGAGAAGAATTTGAAAGCTTCAAATTGATCCGATGCTCTTGCAGTAGTGTTCATCAAAATTCCTTCGAAACCATACACTGCTCATTACAAGATACTATGTTGAAGCAACGGCATATCATCAGAACGGAACCGGCCCAAGCGCCAAAGTTCTGTAATCTTTTCTCGTAGAGTGGATAGTTACACCAACGTCATTTAAAAAACTATAGGAAAATCTCGGATCTTCGTGATGCATTCTATGTCGATCCAATTTATCGACAATTTTAGAAACTATAAACTTTACTATTGTTTTAATTTAAAAGTCAATTACCGTAACGTAATTAAATAGACAGTACAGTATATACGGTATATGTTTTTTTTTAGAAAAAAAAATTCAAACCCAAAAATAATAGCCAATTTAAAAACGTTATTAATAACACAAGATCTTCAACTATTATTAATTTATTGAATAAGATTTAAGTTTTTAAGTTTTTCAATAAGGTTGATTACTTTTGTAATTATACAGTATATTTTAAATTTAAATTGTATTATTTCTTATTATAAAATCATAAAAGAACAATAGCAATAATAATAAATAAATAAAATAATTAATTGATTAATATTTATTTTTTGTTAAAAAAAATTATTTTTAAATTTGATTTATTTTTTTCAATTAGTTAAGTCTTGTCAAATATATTTTATTTGATTTATATATTTTTTTCTTTTACAAAAATTACTATTTATAAATTATTTTAGATACATGTTATGTTATATTAAATTTTTTTTATATTAACACATTGTTATTGATTTATTCTAAAGTATATATCAAGACTAATATATTAAAAATTCATTAATATTATTATTAATTAAATAATAAAAATTAAAACTAATTGTTTAATTAAACCAATTATTTATTGGTTTTTTATTGTTTATTTTATTTTATTTTTTTGTTATAAATTTTTAATATAATTTTTTTTTTAATATTAAAATAAAATATGTCTTTTAATTTTTATAAGAATATATTATATATTTATATATTTAATATTAAGATATAAAACATATACTATAAAAATTAATTATATAGTATAATTTTTTTCACTAATCCTTTTGCCAATCCAAAAAACAGACATTCTTAAGAAAATTTATTTTTTTTGATAATATAGTCTATACACTCTTTTTAATAACATCACTTCCAAGGCAAAACAAGTCTTCCCATCTTGATACACCTTTCTTTTCAAACAATTTCTTGATATTTCAGTAACAAAATACAAGAAATCTTATCTACGGAGTCTATGGCAAGAAAACTCTGCCAGAAAGAAAAGACTTTTGAAAAACATCTTCTACTATTTTTACCAAAACCTAAAGGATTTCTAGAATAGCTATGTATCTTGCTTCTGGACTTACTTTTATCTTTTTGCAACTTGAAGCTAATTTACTTCTTGTGTGTTAATATCTTTTTGATTTTTTTGAAGGATTTTGCCTATCTCAGTTTGATTCTAAATTTTTGGTTATACTGGAAATTCTTCAAGATAATTGAATAAAATTTTGGGATTGGTTAATTAATAAATAAAAGAAATGTAAACAAAACACATATATTATCACGTGTTCCCTGTTACACTACACAAATTTGATGATGTGATTGGTCAACTGAAAGAGTTGACTGTTGGATAGATAAAGGAAAGGTTGAGAATAATAATTTTTTCTCAAAAAATTACAGCAAGATAAGTAAACTTTTTTTTGAAGATTCTTTATCTTTTTTTTTTAGCTTGACTCATATATTGGCAGAAAAGATAAACAAAATCTCCAAAAACAAATCAATATTTTTAAAGATAACCAAGAAAACATATTTAAAGTATGAAACCCCTGTGTACGAATCTCCTGAAAATATAAGCCAGTTGTTAAACTTGCAAATATATTTCCCAAGATCTATAAGAATCTTGAGTCTATTATAAATTCTAGATAAATCCAATAGGTGGGTGGATAAGCAAGAAAAGATAATCTAGAGAGATTGTTGAATAAGAAGAACTCTTAAAGACCAGAAAACCTTGATATACTTGAGGGTATACAGTAATTGCTTAATGAACTGACTACCTTATAACCTAAGGCCAAAAGAAATAAATTAGGTGTGGTTAACATAATCAGTTCTATTTTCAAGACATTCAGGTTACGTATAAATAAATAAGTCTCTGACTATTCATGAAGGCCTATTGAACTCAACTTGAAGAAAGTTTAAGTTAGAAAGAACTGGCCAAAGGAAATATAAGTAATTGATACTATAGAGTCTTTTAGATTATGGTTAAAAATTTTATACTTTATAACTTGAATAGATAGTTTGATTCCAATATATTTCTTTTGGTTACTTTGGAGATTGGTTGCTATATTTATCCAGATCCTATTGAGAAAACTTTTTTTATTTTTTATTTTTTTTGTGCGAGTAGTGTGTAATATACATGTGTTCATATTTAATTTAGACATTTTTCAAAAACTGTATTATGTTCATATTACTAAGTAACAATTAGTAAGTAATTGGGAATCATATTTAATTCAGAATTGTATTGTCAATTAAATTTCCTTTTATGGTAATAAGAAAACATGTATAGTGTGTAGCACTGTTAGATATATGGGGTCTTAACCCCAGTCTATTAGTTAACAATAAACTACCTTCCAGATTACACTTAGAGACTTTTAGTTATAAACGAGTGAATCATATTTCATGTTTATGCATATAAAAAAGTTCTTCTTTATATACTCCAGAGTTAATAAACAATAAATGCTGATACAATTTTGGGAAAAAAAATTAAAATAAAACATATACTATAAATATACTATATACATATATAATATATTTTATAATTTTTTGAAATTATTTTAATTTTGTATTTTATCTTATAATTAAATAACAAAATTATTAAAATTTTAAAAATTTTATTTAAATATATTTTAAAACTTAGGAATAAAATAATATGAATTTTATTAAAACATTTATTTTTGAGATTTTAAATAATATATAAAAATCTTAAAAATAAATCTTTTTTTTGAATTGTTAATAAAATTTTATAAAGTTATTTTATAAAAAAAGTTTAAGTAAAAATTTTTAAAAAAATGTAAAGAAAATAAATTTTAATGACCTGTGGGTCCATAGTGTAGTGGTTAACACTCCACAGGTCAGATCACAAGATACCAGTTCAACTCCAGGTAAAG